TTGCGGCTACAGCCATTGGATCGACAGGGTGAGAAGTGTATCAATCTGGTAATCTTCAGCCTGGCCATTTATCGCCACCATTCAGTTTAGGTTTGCGTTGGTACCAGGGAGGCATCCCTCTCTCTCTCTCTCTCTCTCTGGAGGTGCTTCTCGACTGTTCTCGGCGCAGTTTCGGCGATCCTGAATCATGGCAATCACATCACACACTCTTCTCGCGGACACAACAATGTTGGGTTACAAATTTCGCCCCCATGATCCTTCCGCCTAGCCTCGACCAGCATCAACATCCATACGAGCGTTATGGAGGCCTTGTTTGACCCCGCGACTGTTAGTGGGGGCGGTGGCGCCGAAGACCCTATCTCACCTCGCGTGGTTGAAGCAGCACGGGAAAATTTTAAAAAGAACAAAAAGAAAAGAAACAATAGGATTGAAACCATTTGTCATCTGAGTCTACCTGAAAACTTACTAGTCACCGATATTAGGAGGCTGATAAAGAGAGGAGTTGAGTGGTCTCCTCCTGCAGGATCTAGCCAGAAAGCACGTCAGCCCACGTTGTTTGTTGTTTCTAGCGTGAGGCTTCCCACGCGGCGGACGATGCGCCAAGATGGAGCGATTTCATCTAGGGTTACATTTACAGTACGGAGTACTGTACATGGTTCTTTTTTTTCTCACTGGGGATGAGGACCGTGCACTACTGCTTCACCAACAGCCCGTCTACCAGTTAGCTTACTTTTAAAGTATTCCGCGAGCTGAATCTTATCCCAAGACAATCGAGATCAACGTGGATGGCCAAATGAGCATCTCAGGGCCAATTTGCTACCAAGATTTCTCAGCCAGTCTGATTTGCTCCGGAACCGTATGTCAAGTCCTGGTTTTCTCAGAGTTGTGTTGAGTGTTTACTTTATCGGGAAGCGCGTAAGCACTGAGTCTTATACTAGGTTATTACTTGGGCCGGACTTTCTGCGCTCGGCTCTGATTCGCTACTTTGTCCGCTCCATTTCTGCAGGCCGATTCTTCTGCTGCACCTAAATCCTTCTTTTTTGAATCAGTCCTTGCTCTAGGCTAGCACGTGATCTAGATACAGGACGAGTACGTTGTCGTTTACTCTATTCAGGCCGTCTGGCAGGATTGGAAGGATGGCCGGATGCCCCCCGTCCAGCCACGCGAAATTGCGCGGAAGGGCTGGATGAGGATCGAGATAGAGATAGCTTTCCCACCAACACTGGTGCTTAAATGGAGGTCAAGAGGGGTAAAAGTTTCTTGATAGTGCTTGATTAGGGAGAGTTGCTTGAGCCGATGACTTTTCCGAGCCACTTGATCTCCCGCCCTAGGCCTATCGAGGGTGCGGACACATCTTGAGGTTGATTCCTTCTGAGTTATCCGCAGTCAAATACGGAGTACCGTTGCTAGTATACGTGGATGTCACTGACTCATGTTTCTCAAATCGTATAAGCTGATTAATCCGTGACCAACATTCTGTCGCAGTTCTGCCGGTATAATTTTGACATATCAGAATAGTCGAGACGGAAGCGTTATCTGTACAATCGGTACGGCCTGAATGCTGTATGTCCCAAGCGAGAGAGCCCGCTCCAAATCCCGAACCACAAAGGATGATATACCTAGAAGTCAGGATTACTAGCGAGGTGTACTAGCCATTTTTCATTTATCATGTAAGGAGAGCTCAGAATTCCCGTGAAGTCCCCCCTCAATCAACAGCCCGAGTCAATTCCAGCCAAAGCCCGGTCCAAAACCACGGCGCATCAATACCGTGTTTCGCTATATGGTGGAAATTGCAAATTCTGCCAATGAAAGCAGGATAATCAGAGAATGAAGCTAGCGGTACAGCCCGATCACTCAGCAACCGATATGATGTAGCTAGGTATTCTTGATTTGCGGACTCTGCAGCTCTCTTCTCCCACCAAATTACTGATTGATCGTCATATTACCACGTGGTTTGGGGGCAGGACAGGGCATCTGCCCCGTAGATCGGAACCGTACGGAGTACTAGGTAGAGGATGTACTGTATACGTACTGGATTCTGAAGTCTCGGTTGTGTATCATGCCACATTCCGCAGTGGCCGGGGATGCAGTCAGCAAGCTAAAATAAGTTGTTTAGATCTGCATGTACGAGCACGTAGTTGAGGTATCGACTCCTTGCTTCAGCGTCACATCCTGTATACGGTACAATCTGTAATCTTTCAATCTTTCCGCCCACCCGAGACCCGTTGAGGCGGTAGTAGTGCGAATTGGGAGAGGCAGTGCCATCCCCCGCTCGGGCCTCATTTGACGGGAGTGTTTTTCCAATCTGTCCCGCGGTACTGTATTGTAAAGGTCTATCAAAGGGATACTACTCCGTACCAGGGAGTGAATACTGTCCTACCACGTAGTCAGTACAGCCAATTGCTAAGATGTCAACACTAGCTATGAGTGACTAGTGCCTCTGCTTGGTAATATCTCCGTCATGCTGGAATTGGGATTGCTAACTCGATACTACCTAGCCCGTGATGCGTGATGGCTCCCTCCTAATGATCTCCGCAGGATCACCTCGCGTACACTAGGGTTGATCCGGGCTAGATAACCTTGGGGGGCTGAGCATTCGCAGCATAGTCCGGAGTACTGATACTAAATAAAGGCCTGTCATTTGTCCAGATGAGACCACGCGGTCACGCGATTAGTGGGATTACTTTTTCTATCTCATTTCCATGCCCTTTCTTAGTGTACCAGTACCTAGTAGCCTTACCCCTCTTCACCACTGCTCATCCCGGCTCACCACCACCGTGGTCTCGTCTCATCGATGCAGCACGCATGCATAGCCTTCCTTCCAGTCTACCTAGCGAATAGCACATAAGGACAATCAGCAACTGATTCTTCCCCGTTGTTTCACAACCCACCCCCTGTCGTTGATATACCCCAATTGATTGCCAATTAACATTAGCCAGGTCCATTCCCGCCAACCAGAGTCAAGGAGTCTCAGGTAAGGGATGCAGAAATCCTGAAGGCCAACCATCCACGCGTGTTTGTCACCCAGTTGCTGACCAACAGCAGGTCAGAGCGACTGATCTCCCGGGTATGCCAAGCTGTTTCACGGATCTTATCGTGTGGACAATTATGCATCGAGTCTTCAGGACTGCTGTGTCCAGTGCAGCTCCAGGGGCCATATGCATCAGGCCACAGCCCATGCTTTCCTCAATATTTGAGGCGACTGATTGCTCTGTCGTAGGTGTGTCAGCGTAGGTGCTGTCTGCCTCCACTCGAGACTTTGCAGCAGGTCTAAGATGTCTTGGAATGTAACCCAAGGCTAGTGGGCGGTCCCCCTAAGCTCTGGATTGCGTGCTAATTCTCTCGGCAACGGAGCCCTAAAGCCATGATGGTGTTTGGATTCGGTCCGACTCCGATGGAGAAGGCTTTTCTCTTTTTTCTCTTTATTTTTATTTTGATGGTTTTTTTTTTCTCTTTTCCTTTCTCTGCTGCGACTTGGTCATCTCTTCTTTCGAGTAACATTGCTCATCCGCGGATTATCAGAAAAGTGTAAGCACATCACACAGTCACAGTTTCACATTCCACGGCCTCGTCTTCGCATTGCGGGCTGTAGAATTGCCGGCTGTGGCTTAGCAGCATCCAGTCGGTCTATCCTGCATTGATCTGATAGTGGCCCTCCCCATTGCCACGAGGCAAGTCGGTTACTTGCCCTCCCCAATTCCCACAGGGAAAAGGCCACGTGGAATCTCGACAGACGCAACCCACGGAGGCGAGTGCAGCTTCGATTCTAGAACGCATTAGCCGTCAACTACGGTACACCCCCTCGTTTCACTCGCGTGGCCAAGGCACGCAAGGCCGCGTTCTTCAAACCAAGCACCTTTCCAAGCACCTCGGCAAACGTGCATCTCCTGAAGCACCGTACAGTACGTACATTGGCTCCAAGAGCCTCTGCCGAGTGCGGCTGAAGCGGTAAGGCCTGGTGGTCAACCCAGCTTAACGTACCGTACTTTTTCTATTCCTTCCCCCCTTGACTGGTCTGCTGCAGGAGTGGCAGGATTCTGGGACGCTGAGACGGATCAGTCATCCTGTAACGAAGGAACGGAGTCCGTCCCAGAGGCAAGGACTTACCTTACCTTGCTTAGCATAGGGCTCAGCGCTTACGTGCTTGGCGAATCCCTTGAGAAACGACAGTAATCAATTCGGGTTCGCTGTGCTTTCCGAATCTGGTTAACCATTATGAAAATTGAGAGCGGAGCATGCTTCTGACGTGAGGAATGGCTCCCTATACTCTATCGCTCGATGGACAGTGAGACGTGGACCCTGACGCAGAAGGTGGCGGGTCTTTTCTTGTCTCAAAGATCTCCATTCGCCCGTGCATCAGGTCTTGGAAGGTGGAAAGGGGGGCATCTGAGACTACTATCTGCTATGCTCAACTCTACTTAGGCAAATGAACCTGAAGCCCACATTGCCCGACGGCGTTTCCTTGTTTTCAGGAGACAGACATCAAACTCAATTTACCAACTTGGGTGGTCACAGTGTGCAACACAGCGAGAATCTCGGGATCTGATTTGCTGTTGAGCTGCATGCTCGATCCAACGGCATTACTAGGTAGGTGAGGTAGTATAAGCGGACAACCTCCATGGTTCGTTGCTGTTGCCTGTTTCCACGTGGTACTTACTAGTAGCTTTGTACCACGAACATCATGGACAGCAACTGCAGCTTCTAGGGAGGGGGGGATTCACTCCACTCAACCGTCACATTGGCTGATCTTACACATTTCTAATCCAGGCTGAATTTCTTCGCATTGATGTCTCACTCTAGTCAGCATGCTCGCCCAGTCTGGAGACCCCCAAGAAAAACAACCAGACAGGCTTTCGGGCTCTCCCTCTTCTGAGTCTGTTTCATGAGTAGCGCTCCAGCGACACAGCATAATTTTGCCATGTTCATCCAAGGCCCGTCTCCAGGCTAGGTTCGGCTCATGGTGTTCGCCAACGCCCCCAGCGATCCCACCTCCATCGTCCCTACAGAGCACACTCTCCGTCACAAGACTCAGATGCCACTTTGTCATGCTCAACGAGCGTCGACCGACTCAGGCACTGACTCGAACGCGGAACATCGTTGGACGGGTTCAGCTCGAAGAAGCTCGTCGGCTTGAGCGAGACGACCAACTTCTCGACCGGCATGACCGGAAAGTCTGATCCACTGTTAGCATTCTCTCCAGGCAAGCACCCGGTGGCATGCATACCTTCCGGACGGGTGATGTGCGTGGTGCCAAACGTGTGCCAGAGCACGAGATCCCGGTTCTCGACGGACTGCTGGCGTTGACTCCACACCCCCAGCCCGGTGTCGTCCGTGCTCTGGTTGGTGAACTCCCCGGCCGCGTAGAGCTCCTCGTCTTGGTAGTCTGTGACCCAGATCGGCTTGGTTGTGAACCGTCCCCGGCGGCAGTTGAATGTCGCCGGGCCCATTAGGAGCATCTGGCTTGGGGACGCGTGTATCCTGTACCCCACGGGTTCGCCGGAGATGGCGTTGGTTCGGTTGGGGTTGATGATGCGGTACGTTCGCGAGGCGGCGAGATTGAGGTCGTAGCCTCCGGCCTGCGTGATGGCGGTGGTGGTCCTGCGGAACGCGCAGCCTTGCGGGTCGTCGACGGTGGGGTCGTCACGGACGGGGAGGATATCGTCGTAGACGACCATGTTGCGGGTGCCATCGAGAGCGGGATCAATCCGCAGGCTGAATAGATGTTGATGGTTGACGGCTAGCACGCCGGGAGCCACGACGGTGCCCCAGGGCGACGAGGTGTGACGAGCAATGGGCATGGTGGACATGATGCCCGTCGCTCTGACCTCCACATGGAGGTTGGCGGCTTGGTCCAGCACGAAGGCAAGGATGTACTCGTAATTCATCACAGTGGCCGTGCACTGGATGACGAGGGTGCGGTTGCGCACCATCGACGCCTGTCCGTTGCGCACGTTGGTGTGCTTCCAGCCGATCCCCTCGTCCACCTCGTGCACGCAGATCACGTTCTTCAGCTTGACGGGCTCGCCGGCCCCCGTCGTGCGGATCCCGTCGAAATAGGCGATGTGGCCCAGACAGTCACAGCCCAGGGTCAGGGTGTTGGAGGTCAGGCCGAAGCCCGAGTCGCCCAGGTCGAACGCTTGCTTGCGACGGTATGGGGCCCGCGGGTCGCCGTACGGGACCGTCATCTCGCTCATGGAGATCCGATGGAAGAGCGACCGACTGTCGTAGACGACGTGGTGGAGCACGGGGCCCTCGCGCACCGTCCATCCCAGGTGGAATGACCATTTCTGCCAGGTGATCTGGCGTCCATCGATACGAAACGATGGGCCCTCCGGTTGCTCGACGTGGAGGGGTTTCAGGTCTTGGCGCAAGTAGCCCTTGCCTAAGAGGCGCTCGCTGTACTCGACTGGCTCCACGGCGTCCCAAGGCACGGTCTCCTGATCGAGCTCCGCTCCCGCTCCTCGTGGCAGTCTTTCGATCTCTAATAGTTCGGCGGTATGAGCGTCGAAGATGGGCGCAAATGGCATGGGGAGGGAGTAGTGGTTCGCTTCCGGGTCATCGTTCAGGACAGCGTACATGTAGCACTGGTAGAGACGACGGGTCACACCGGGGGTGTCGGTCCCGTACAGCCAAGGGTCATTGACCACCGAAGTCCTGCAGTTGTCAGATTCTATGTGCCATACCTTGTATGATGGGAGGGGGGGGGGGGGCATAATTTGGCCTGCGAGCGCTGCTCACCCCTCGGGTAGTTTGAGCTTCTTCACCTCGGCACGAACCAGCGGATGCTCATTGCAGGCCTTGTGAACGCGCTCGAATTCTTCAGGGTCTGCAGGTCCTTGGACTCCAGGACACTGGCGGTCCTCGTCTACAGTGCCCTCGGTTACATTGACTTTGGCCTTGCACAGCGTGGCATTCCCTTGCTGATGGTAGTAGATGTAGGCTTTCCGCGGAGGGGCTGATGAGCCCCGCGTACGAGCATTCAGATATGCCAGGAGTGAGGCTTTGGGAGGTTCCAAGAGGTCAATGACCTTGAAGCGAATGGGAGTCGTCTTGTGAAGCGTTCGCAAGATTTGAGCTGCCTTGCGCAGCTCATTCGGGGCGAGGGGGTCGAGAGGGTGAGACATGGCGATGAGGAAAGCAAGCAGTGAGGGGGGCGTAAGTTGCAAGTTAGGGGAGAGTTTTCGATGAATCTTGCACCATCTCAGAGTTTTCCATGTTGTTGCCAGACTTTATGTACCAGGTCTGCTTTTCTCCGGGTGCACAATCGATACCTCAGTATGCATGGTATGGCTGACTTCAACGCAGCCGGTGAGCCACAATCAAGGTACATCGGCCTATTCTTGATTTGGATTAACTTACGCCCATGAATCACATCGCCGGCCATCCAATGAGGCTTAAGCATCAGTCTGTAGCTTCTGCGACCGGGGTAAGGGCGTGGGTGAGGGATAGGATGTTGGGATGAATGCCCACTCGGGAATGGTTTCCAGCAAATAACCCCCGATAGAGGCGTGCTTGGCCACAGTACTTTACACAATAAGGCAGTAATGCTGAAGAGGCAACACTGATCGAGGCAAGTTTGATTCCTGATTCCTTCGCAAAGCAAAATCGCAAAGGAAACCCCATTCGAAGTCAAAACGTCTCCATCACAGAGACTCCGAGCAGGCTTCACCATGACGTCACTCCGATTAGGAACAACATCCTGAACGTGAGGATGATATACTTCGCGACTGAACACAACAGCTGATAGTCTGGCTCACTACACTTCGATGATAGCACTTTCGAATTAATATGGTCTCCAGCTCCTGGCTCATTGTCTTGGGTGGTGGGAATGGCTCGAGTATCCTGAGGCATCGATGTGACCTCCTCAAATATAGCAAGCAATTTACCCCACTATTGAACCTGTTGAAAGAAGAGCTTAAGCAAGGATTGTGTGTGATAATGAGCGACATAGACCAGACAATTAGATTACCTGCATCCATTGTTGCCATTGTCCCAGTAATGTTCCTCCATTAACCAACAAATATCGCACCGCATCCAGGCACAGGCTTAACCATGCCCTTCTTACCCTCAACCCCGCATGATCCATCACTACCTCGGATTGACCCATCCAGTGGGAGTGATAGCCTTGATATGCGAGCTGATAGCAGTTGAAAGCATTTCCTATTGTAGACAAGTCTACTGGCGGATTCCCCCTTTTGGGAAACGAAGCCACTCGCTTGTACGGTGAATCCGTGGTCGCAGGGAGTCCAGATCCCCTTCCGGTGCCGTGTAAGCTATCACCAGCTTCCCCCAAACCCTTGGCGGCGCCTATCCCTACTGCTAGTGGGCTGCACACCAGTACGTACGGTACTCCCATTTATATGAAGTGAAAGTCATGGCTCAAGTGGGATTATCATCAGTTGAACAATTGCACACCGATACCCCCTTGAGCTGCACCATGTCCTTCAATCCCTCCAAGTACAGTGACGAGGTCCAAAAGGTGTCCAAAGACACACCACTCGAAGAGATCGTGTATCTACTCAAGCGGGACGGCGGGATTTTCATCAAGAACCTCATCCCCGAGAGTGACGTCGACCAAGCCCATGAGGAGGTCAAGTCGCGACTGGACGAGGATGTCGAGTGGAACGGGTCATTCTTTCCAGGTAGGCCGTTGGCAACTGCGACATCCCAAGCCCACTCTAACACCATCACCAGCACAAACCCAACGGGCTCCATCCCTCATCGCCCGTAGTCCGACCTACACCAAGACCCAGCTTATGAACCCACTGTTCCGCGCCGTCTGCGACCACTTTCTCACCTCCCGCCGATGGTACTGGTGGGGCGACGAGAAGAAGCTGTCCGTGTCCAAGCCCTACGTGCATTCCTGCGTCGCGATGCGCATCGGCCCCGGCGGCACGGCCCAGCCCCTGCACCGGGACGATTACATCAGTCATCGCTGGCACCAGGAGATCGGGCAATGGGACGATGTCCGCGACGCCGAGCGCGAGGCCTCCGTCGGACTGTTCGTGGCCGGCTGCCGCGTCACTAAAGAGAACGGGGGCACTGCGTTCATCCCGCGGAGCCATCTATGGTATGCAATCCCGAATCCTGCTGCACGGAGGGCCGCGGACCACTGACAAACCTACTTCTCAGGGGATCCGACCGGACGACTCCCCCCAAAGTGGAGCAGTGTATCTACGCCGACATGGAGAAGGGCGACGGGTTCATCATGCTTGCATCCGCGTTCCACGGCGGAGGCGCGAATATCACCCAGGAGGAGAAACGCCTGATGTTCGCCACCTTCATCATTCGGGGTTACTTGCGTCAGGAGGAGAATCAGTTCCTGGCCGTGCCGGGCGATGTCGCCCGGAGCTATGACCGCGAGGTCCAGGAGTACATGGGGTATACGATGAGCGAGCCGGCGTGTGGCTGGGTCGAGCAGCTGGATCCGATCTACCACCTGCGTCCGGAGTTGAAGGAGGACGGGCGACCGACGGATTTCTAGCCAGGACTTGGACTTGGAGAGTCTATATACGTGACAGCGATAGTGGTGAGCGTGACTATGCAAGAGTGTGTATAAAGACAGCCTCTGGTTACTAGGCCCACTTGGCGAAGAAAACCTGGTTTCTGAATGAGGCGATCATACCAAGCCAAGCATAAACTCAGTCTTGTGCGCCCCGAGCTTCCGTTCCCGTGGTCTCATCAGAATTTCCCAGGATTGACATTTCGATCTATCGCTCTAGATGCGCCTTGCAGCAACAAAAGTACGTATGCAGCTGGACCGAAAGGGCAATGCGGTGTCCTGTTCACCTTAGTGACGGCACTTGGATATCAAACTAGGGTAATTTCGGGAATGGTTGGTGGAGCGGTGGAGATGCTGCGCATACTTCCCAACTGGGCAATGCCTCCCACTGAACCCAATTCTGGCGATGGCTTCAATTGATGCCAGAGTAGCGGGGGCATATTGAAGGGAAGTGAAGTATGATATAAATATCCAGAAAGAACGATTGGGGATCTCTCAGTACTCACACATGGAGAATGCCTTCGAGCGGGAACCGTACGCAGCCACCCAGCCTCGCGGCAAATTTGGCTGGCAGAACTGCCATTCTCACGGGCTCCTCCAGGTATTATAATGTGCCTGTCTCTTACTGGAAAGCCCTTGCTGATAGCAGTGTGCTAGAATTGCGTACGACCGGCAGACACTCATCATATCGCCATTGAGGCGGGCATTAAACCCATGAATCAAGCGATGCTAGCAGATGCAAGGGTGGGAGAGGTGGACCATATTACCCCCTCGGTCCGGTTTGAGCCCTTCATTGGGATATACAGCTATGTGTATTGACCATATGCAACTGAGCGATCATATTATCAGTTTTCCATGTTCAAAGGAAAAGCTACGCATGACAAACAGTGCCTTGAGCGGCACGGGGCTTGCTCTTGCTTCGGACAAGGCAGGGCAGAGTCGCATCCGGCACGAACATATAGCGGAGGTTCATGCATAAATTAGCCTGGTTTCCCATTCGCAAGGATGTCCTTCGAACCCCACCATAGAGCATAATGATGGCCAGGACTGATGATCAACGTATAATCTTGAATCATTTTGTTAACCAGTGGCTGGGAGTGTCTGTGCCGTGTCTCTGTTTATATATACAGGCGACTCCTCAATAGCTCAGAGGTCAACGAATAAAAGGAATGTTGCGGCGATGATCGAGCATCAACTCGCTGGAATGCAGTCACTCAGCTCCCTGCTGATCAGGGAGGAATTGTACGGACTCAACAGGGAAGAGATCGATGTCCTTCTCGCCACAGTACTTCTCCTCGTTCTCTACGACGTGAGTCAACAATTGCCATTCCTTGCTGGAAAACCTCCTTATGGGATTCAGATCCGTGAGTCGGGAATTTCCTCTCATGGGGTGCATCTGACCGGTACCGCCTACATCTGCCGCAAGATCTCCCAACAACCGACGGCAATGGTTTCCCCTCGCACGGCTTTCCTGATAGCCACTCTCGCCTGGTAGGCCAACTTCATGTATTGTGACTCATTATTCGATTGCTGAAGCGAACTCAACGATTGCAGCATCAGTGGGAGGGATTCTCGACGCAGCCGCCAGCATCCCCACCGCATCGCCCTGGTTCAAGCGGCTCCTGTTCCCGTTGCTTATCGCGGGCGCGGAAACGTCTGTGCCGCACCAGCAGCGGTTTGTGGAGATGTGCATTGGCGAGATCAAGCGGAAGACGGGGTTTCAGCAGGTCGCCATGACCCAGATTCTGGGCAAGGTGTGGGAGGGAAGGGCGCGACAGGTGGATCGGTCTCGAAATGTGCCGTGGATGGAGTATGTAAGTGCTGCTTGTCTGCGTGTTCTGCTTCTTGGGGTGATATGTCGCGGCGTCTAATCGGGAACTTAGACGTGCTCGGTCGATCTGGTACGGCAGCATGACTATCTGTTTTTCTAGGCGCTGAAGGTCGGCATTGATGTTACCTGCGAGTAGAGTCGACTCCGGCTTGTGGGTGCTCAGGCGGCAGACTGCGCTTCCAGGCCACCTACACTCTCGAACCTGCGTCTCTGGGGCAATCCCTGATTGCGGGCCGACGTTAGTGGAGCCTTGACTGTTTGCTCTTGAGTATGTACGTAGCAGCGAATCGTGACTAAATGACGAGCTGATCATGTGGGGTTGAGACAAAATCCGCTGGCGATGCTCGTACGCATATCCGCAACGGGCAAGTGATACGAACCCGACAATATCCCCACGGCATGCAACAAACTCATGGGCCTGGATGCAGATTTCTACTTCTATTGATGTCTGCCTATCTTATCCTATGCATATCTAGAGAGAGGTAGGTCTATGGCTACGTAATTGGGAGGACATATAAAGGCCTATGCATATAAATCGTGTCATCCTCGAACGAACATTCTTTTCTCCATCCCCACCTATATATCTATACTGAGCTCACGCTACTTCCCCCTCGCCTATCAAAACAGCACTGCTAAGAACCATGATCAATCTGGCCCCCGACAACCATCCACGCCTCAAGCTACGCTTGCACATCATCATCGGCTCTCTCATCACCCTAATCTTCATCCTGATCATCGCCCGAGTCGCCGACAAAGGTACCCCGACGACCCGGACCAATACCTGGGGCATAGCAGTGGTAAAGCTCCCTCCACCCGTACTCTTGTCCGAGTCCCCGCCCAGATTGGTTCGGTTCTCACAATGGTCTACACAGTGCGTAAAAGCAGCGGTCTTCCTCGCCTACCAAACCCTCACCACCTACCACGAGCGCTTCAAACGGTGGGCCAGCCCCCGCGCCAACATGATCCTGGACATCATCGACACGATCTTCTGGTTCGCCTTGTTTATTATCAGCATCATGGGCGCGAGTGGAGGGCATACTACGAGTAGTAAGGCGCTGGGTGGGATTGTGGCCGTGTTGGCGCTAACATTGTGGTGAGTCTCTCGGTTACTTCCAGTTCTGATCATGATGGTGGAAGGGTCACTGATAAGGAGGTGCAGTGGGGTGGTTGGATTGCTAGTCTTTGTGTGTGTGCAGGATTGGAGGTATTTCAAGGTCCATGGCGTGGTGCCGGGGGTGGTGAAGTCGCCGTGTTGAGGGGGGTTTTAATAAGCAGGAAACCAGTATATAAGATCTGGAACCATCGAGTGGGACAATTTGAATTGGAACACCTCGCTTGGCTTTCTATGTTGTTGTGGTCCAAGTATCTCACTTGGATAGGATTCAAATCATAAGTGCGGCAGCCGGGATTCGAACGCGGGTCGACTCGATGTGTTCACGTGACCCTGCGTACAGAATACGTACCGTATCAGTTACGAGCACGGTGGCCAACCCTTATCTCGCTGGAAGTATGAAAGTATCAATAAACACTCTCCTTCTAAATCATGTCTCCAGTGATCGGAGAGATCAAGACAAGATCAAAATGAGGTCAATACAGTCGGTCAATGAAATCATCGTCAGCCCGTCCATCTGCAAACGGACCATGGGAAGTGAGAGATCCGCCACCTGCAGGCCCGATCGGTGGTTACCGAGCCGTCTGGACCGTCTGAACCAACCAGTCCCCAACTCTATCCACATGCTGGTGAAGCCTAGATGACTTCATCTAATTGATTTAGTGTTTGTGACAGGGTTCACTGGGTAAGTGATTGAAAGACTGCCCGATTTCTGGGAAGTATTAAATGGGGAACGTGGCTCAAAATTGCTTCAGTTAGGATCACCTCTATACACTTACTTTACCACAGTCGACATCAGATCAACCCACCGCCGCCAAAATGAAAGACTTGGTCAGTCCAGGCTGCAGCCATTCGAAGTCTTTTTGTTTTTCTCTGCTTACCTTTCCTCACTGCAAGTAGACCTTCGACGTTCGCTACGATAATGAATTGGCCCATGACTACTATGGGGACGGGTCCAAGCTGGCGAACAAGTGAGACCAACTCAGCCATCAAGCACTAATGAGGTAGTTAGTGTTCGTTGGTGAGATGCTAATCGCAGTCATCCCTTAGTCTTCGAAAGATCTACGAGGCCCAGCACCTGGAGATCCCGGACGAATTTGAGTCCACGCTGACCACCCCTCCCATCCACTTCATGTCGTAGGTCCAACCCGGTTGGTGGAGCGACTGGACGGTAAAGAACTGACCATGCTAGGGTCTCTGCGCCGGACGATGTAGATGTGGATGGTCTCCGGCAGGTTGATGTGCCTCCGGGTCTGAGCATCGAGATCTTGGACTTCCAGATGTGAAGGTTCTTACTGTACTACTCCGTACATAGGTTCCAGTGCGCCCCTTAGGAGGGAAGGTCGATTTTTGATAGTTTCAACGGAGCAAGCCACACATAATTTGATGAATGAAATGGATGGGATGTTGTGATTTGTAATTTCTCGGTATGCACACATGGACAGGGTTATAGTTAGCGTACGTTAGCGTGTTTTATCTCTCCTATTGAATATTACATTAGCTACGCACGTATCTAGCCTGCAGTCCAAGCTCCCTCTCTCCTTTTTCTTTTCAACTCCACCCAGTCGCTTTCTCTTTCTCCTCCCCGGAGTAAGACCAGACCTTATCGATTATCGATTATCATCATGTCTTCGACCCCATCGTCATCATCATCGCCATCATCCTCAACTCTGTATGCACCGAACCATAAAAGACGCAAAATACGAAAAGGGACCTTTTCCTGCTGGGAATGTAAGCATCGAAAGAGACGATGCATCTTCGAGCCCGTCAGCAACCCCAGCTGCGTGTATTGCGACAGCCGAGGGTTGCAATGCATTAGCCAAGCCTTTGCCGATCCGTCCAGCAACACCAACTATGAGCAGGTCGAGGATCGGATTCAGCACATTGAATCTCTCGTGGATCATCTACTGCGTCAGCGGAAGAATGCCCCTCCAACAATCTCATCGTCTCGACCCGCAGCTGCAAAGGTTTCCAGGGACAAGCCCCCCCTGTTGAGACAGCACGGGCTCGATGCAGAAGCCGCCTCCTTTGCTGTCATCAACCCCAATGGCGTTTGGCACACGCCCACTCGGTCACTGGGCAGCTTTCTCATTTCATACATCCCTCCTCCCTCCACTGCTGTCATGATCCTGACCAAGGGCAAATTCTTCTATTTTCCATTTACGCTGGTGCAGTCGCCCCGGGTAAGTCGTCCACAGGCGACCATCGACGCAGCGACAGCGAAACCCGATGCGGCACTGGAACTGCCCTCATCAAGCACACCACCGGTCGATCTGGCCCGTAAGCTGGTGCAGCTGGCTCTAGGATTGCAACAACTCAGCCTGACATCCTCCCGCGAGGTTCAGCTCCAACTGAGAGAACCACCGGGGGCCGCTGCACAGCGCTATCTCACGGTCGCGAGCCGCCATGTCACGTCCGACAACGAGCTCGTCTGTTCGCTGGAGGGGCTGGACACTCTCATGCTCGAGGCTCGCTATCATATCAACGCGGGAGCCATGCGGTCCGCGTGGCTCATCTTCCGGCGGGCCCTCAGCGTGGCGCAGATGCTGGGCTACCCCCAGCGGCTCCCGCAAGCGAGCCAGAAAACGCAGGCGCTCTTCTTCCGACTGGTGTATTGCGATCGGTTCCTGTCGCTCATTCTTGGGCTACCTCTTTCGCTGTCGGACAATAGCTTTGCAGCCGAGCAGTTCATGGCGAAGCTCTCCCCATTCGACAGACTCGAGCGCATGCACGTCGTTCTGGCGGGCCGAATCGCCGATCGGAACATGCGCATGCTGCCTCGCTTCGGCTCGCTCGGACAGAGGGAAGAGGTTGGGTTCGATGATTACAAAGAGACCGACGACATTGACTACGGGTTGAGGAAAGCGATCCGATATTTGCCGCTCGCGTGGTGGGATCCGCCGGTGCTGGAGAACCAGGTCACCGAGGAGGAGAAAATGGGGGCCATTGCGCAGATCATCACCCAAATGCACCACCATTACCTTCTCATCATGCTCTATCAGCCATACTTTGTTCAACACCTGGGACGCTCCAAAGAGGCGGACAGTGTGATTTCTGTCCTTTCGGCCGGGGACCATGGGTACAAAAAGCTCGCGATCCTCGCCGCCAGCCGGGAAGTGCTGACTCGATGTCTGGCCTTCCGCGATGAGCACCCGATGATGTCCTATCACGGGCTGGATAACAAGGCCTTCGTGGCAGCAACAGCGCTCTTGATCATCCACATCGACGGACATAACCTGGGTCGCGCGAATGCCCTGGAGCACCAACGGCCCTTGGATCTGAGGACTGTCGACAATGTCATCGATATCCTGGAGCGGCTATGTTTGCGGAATCACTTGACCAGCCCGACGATCAGCGTCGTGCGAAAACTGAGAATGATCGAGGAAGAGGCGGCAGATGGCGCGGAGTTTTACGTCCTGGCCGGCCAACGAGGTCCCTGAGGCTGCGGAGTGCAGCCTGAAACTGGAGATCCCGTACTTTGGATCTTTCTGCATCCTGCGTCGGCCGGCCAGATCTGCTGCTGAGGTTCCGATGATGGCGATGACAGACCCAACTTCGATTTTCTTTGTCAACAGCCTGGGTCTTGATGGTGGGATTTACGACAGTGCTCTTTTCTCGACTGCCAGTCAGACACAGGATCACCAGAGTTACTCAGAGATGGACTTCTTCAACGCTTGGATCCGGGACAGCAATGCCGTGCTACCGGGATCCTACAATGGACAGCAATCTGACACGCAACTCAATTGATTCTTATTTGCCAATACAGACTACCTGATCTCTTATTTCCTCAAGTCTTTCTTTGCAGACGGGGAGGGCTCCAGCAGCGGGGTATTCGCGAAGTCATATCCTGTCAGCGCTTGAAACCGAATCCCAGCAACCTCTTTAGCCAACCACCGGAGTGCGCGCTCCTCATCCCCCGAAAGAGAAATTGAGACGCTTCCCAGGTTCTCCTCCAAGCGCTCGACTTTCGTGGTGCCTGGAATGGCGAAAATGTCGTCACCCTGCGCGAAGATCCAGGCCAGCGCCAGTTGCGCAGTCGTGACACCCTTCTGTCTGGCCATGTCGGAGATTCTGTCCACAACCGTCAGGTTCTTGCCAATGTTCTTCTCATGCAGCCACGGCAAAACTCCCCGTGAATCGCCGGGTCGACTGACATCCTGGCGGGAACGCAGAGTGCCACCCAACAGCCCATTTCCGAGGGGGCTGTAAGCCACAATCCCCACCCCCAACTCCCGTGCGGTCTCCAGGAGTCGGATCTCGGGAGACTCGATGGCCAGGCAGAACAGGCTGTACTCCACCTGCACACAGGCGATGGGGTGCACTGCATGCGCCCGGCGCAACGACTCGGCGCTGCACTCGCTCAGCCCGATGAACCGGATCTTCCCCTCCTGCTTCAACTGCACTAGGGCCGCCATTGTCTTCTCGATGGGGGTGATCTTATCCAAGCGGTGGACATAGTACAAGTCCACATAGGGCAGGTCCAGGCGTTTCAACGACCGTTCCAGCGACTGACGACAGTACTCGGGCGTCGAATCCATCTTGTATCCGTGCGGGGATTCGGAGGAGGGACGAATTCCGAATTTGGTGGCCAGGAAGACATGCTGGCGCTTTTCCGGGTTCGCCGCGAACCATTTCCCGAGGATCTCCTCGGACGCGCCGTATTTATCGGCTGAATCTCGTCAGCAATTCCTTTCCACTCCAGTTCACCCCCCCGCAGCTCTATGCTACGGCACAAGTTGTGAACCACATACCGGTGTCCCAAAACGTCTCGCCTCTAGCGTATGCCTCATCCAGCAAGTTGAGGATCTTGTCATCATCTAGCGGCATGCCGTACACGCCGCTGGCGCCCATCAGCCCTAAGCCTATGCGAGGAAGCAGAGGCCCGTGTCTGCCCAGCGAACGGGTCGGCAATTTTCCGGGAGTCGCCATTGTCGGTGTAGAATGGAGAGGCTTGGTTGGTGATGAATCGATTCTGGAACACGGGCTCAACCTTCTTCGAGAGGCCTTACCGCACTCATTGATATAAGATATACAGGCAGTCGGCGATTGCGGTGGATATTGAGTCTCAGGACCCAGTCCCTGATCTTATCTCCGCCGCTAACTCCACCGCCGTCTCCGGGGTTGAAAACTGACCATCGCTGAGACGACCACCGCATTGGTGACTAGCGTGAATGATCAGATATGACAATCAGATATGACTACAATCTGTCGGCAGTTGATGGCAGCACGATCAGCAACCGACTACGCGACAAGGCAGTGACTAACATGGTCAGCAACGCTCACCCTGTGTCACGTGACAGGCTACTATCTCATGGTAACACACGCTGCGCGGTGTAGCAACACAAATGGCACAGTCGGTCGCTCCATGACAAAAGGCTCTCGGTTGCTCATATTCGCGAGAACTAACACGATGTATAACCAAGTCCGTCCACATGCGGGAGTGGTGAGGTCATCCCGGACCACAGAGTTTCGGTACAACCACACACACTCTTATAAAGACCGACGGTCGCGCGAAGCACTGCTCGTGTGAGTCTTAACGCACACCGACTCAATTTGATCTGTGTAGTAGCAACGATGGTCCATCTTTCATCAATCGCCAAAGAATCCCAAACCCACCGTCATCGGCGCGAGCAGCGCGACGCTGAGGCGTCCGAGGCGTCCGCCAACGTCTACGGGACACATTACGCGGTGGAGGAGCTGCCCGAGCATGCGATGTCGGAGCAGGAGATGCCGGCCAGCGTCGCATACCGGATGATCAAGGACGAGCTGAGTCTCGATGGCAATCCGCTGCTCAAGTAATGGCCCTTCTCTGCACTCAGCTTAGCAAGCAACGCATGATAACCATTTCCAACCCCCCAGTCTGGCGAGCTTCGTCACCACCTACATGGTCAGTCACTCTCTCCGCCGTCCGCAGACTGGCGCTGCGTTGCTGACCCAACGCAGGAAGACGAAGTGCAAACCCTCATGTCCGACGCGATGAGCAAGAACTTCATCGACTACGAGCAGTACCCGCAATCGGCGCACATCCAGAACCGTTGTGTGAACATGATCGCGGGCCTGTTCCACGCCCCGACCACCGGCCAGGAGGGCGCGGAGGAGGACGCGATCGGAACCTCGACGGTCGGGTCGTCGGAGGCGATCATGCTGGCCATGCTGGCGATGAAGAAGCGCTGGCAGAACCAGCGCAAGGCGGCGGGCAAGGACTGGTCGCGACCGAACATCATCATGAACAGCGCGGTGCAGGTCTGCTGGGAGAAGGCCGCGCGGTACTTCGAGGTGGAGGAGAAGTACGTCTACTGCACCGAAACGCGGTACGTCATCGACCCGGCCACCGCGGTCGACCTGGTCGACGAGAACACGGTCGGCATCTGCGCCATCCTGGGCACCACCTACACGGGCCAGTACGAGGACGTCAAGGCGATCAATGATCTGCTGGTGGCCAAAAATATCGACTGCCCGATCCATGTGGACGCCGCCAGTGGCGGGTTTGTCGTGCCGTTTGTGAAACCGGAGCTGGAATGGGACTTTCGATTGGAGAAGGTCGTCTCGATCAATGTCTCAGGCCATAAATATGGATTGGTAGGTGTCGCAGCACACACCGTCAGGATAGACAGAGCTCAAACTTGACCAATCATGCTGCTGTCTAGCCAGGGAGTCAATTAGTGCTGACACGGACTCTCCCACACAGGTCTATCCCGGTGTCGGGTGGGTCTTCTGGCGTGCCCCGGAGTATCTGCCCAAAGAGTTGATCTTCAACATCAACTATCTCGGCGCCGATCAAGCCAGCTTTACCTTGAACTTCTCGAAAGGCGCCTCGCACGTCATTGGTCAATACTATCAGTTGATCCGGCTGGGGAAGCACGGTTATCGCTCAATCATGACCAACCTGACTCAAATCGCCGACTACCTGGCCTCGGAACTGGGCAAACTGGGCTTCATCATCATGAGCGAAGGCAACGGTCGCGGTCTCCCGCTGGTCGCATACCGATTCCCCGAGGAGGAGGGCCGTCTCTACGACGAGTTTTCCCTGGCCCATGTGCTGCGTCGTCGCGGGTGGGTGATCCCCGCCTACACCATGGCCCCCAACTGCAACGCGCTGAAGATGATGCGGATTGTCCTGCGGGAGGACTTCAGCATCCATCGCTGCAACCTGCTGGTGGAGGACATTCGCCAGGCGCTGACGTCGCTCGAGGAGATGGACGAGACGATGATCAAGCGATACAGCACCTACGTCCAGACGCACGCGACTCGCGGGCCCCAGGGCCACCCGGTCTACAAGCACGAAAAACATTCGCTCCAGGGTAAGACCGGGAAAACGCACGCGGTTTGCTGAGTGGATTGTTTTTCGGGCTTTGTTGCGCCAATTAAGTTTGGCGACCGGTGACAAGTCAGAGAGATGGATACTACCAGGTACCTAGTAGCCTAGTAACTATACATAGCGCACAAAGGACTTCGTATTGCTTCTTGGAAGGAAAACGGAAAGAATGCACACCACCACAATTTGTCAGAGCTAAGTCACAAGTTGCATTGAACTTGTGGCGAAGTAGTCAAAGAAAAATATTCCATGCCTAGGATGAATGCAACCGTTGCATAGTAGTTTGTTGTTGTCCGAACAGCGAGCGGCGAACTCGTGCTCGCCGACGTCAAAGCTGCACCTCGGCCTGCAACTTTCTGCTTTCTTGCGTAGACTGACTCCCTCACTAAGTCGCAGGATTCATTACAGGAATATCGGTAAGCTACCAACGGCCAACGGCCAGCGGCCACCGGTTTTGCAGGTGTCGGGAACTCGGGACTCGGCTGGAGTGATTTTCGCGACCAAAGGCTCCACCGTTCCCTTTTTTTTCCCCCCACAGGAGCCGGTGAGCGAGCGGTTTTCCGCAGTCTGCAGCTCTTGGCCAGCGTGTCTGATGTCTGATAACCAACTACCTCTGCACGTACTATACTACATGCACCCATTGCACCGTATATTCACGACGGACAACGACAGGCTTCCATTACGACTCTGATCTCCCCACATCGGCCACCCGATCGATGTGAATCACGGTGGCGTAGGGCCAATGAATATCCGATCTGGGCGTGATTCATGAGGAAGAATGTGAGACCTTTTTCGTATTCCATTATAGCACTGAAACAATACAACACAATTATCCAGTGGGTGTCCACAACGGTGCGAGAGGGGACGCGCCCCCATTGCCTCCATCCACGAAAAGGGACCTGTCATACATTGATGATTGATCGCTGTGCTTAGGGTTTGTTTTGGTGACCTACTCCGTACAGTACACGAACTCTTCCGCCTTTGGCCTCAATCCCTTCCCAAAGCAGTATGCGGGCGCCGGACACATCACATTCGATGGTCCATATCAGCAACTTGTTGGAAACCTTGAACAATAATACGCCTCCTCAATGCAGTAGCCTGGAGGTCTATGCTGCAATAATTGGCTCCACTCTCGAACCATTTGACTTGCCCTGCCCTGTCAATCAATCCGGGGTTAATCATCTGTCCCCATTCGCGCAGCAACACACGGAGGGTGTTCGCAGCTGCGTGTCGTCTGTCTGTCTGTCCGTTGACCATCGACCACACACATATCCACCTGATAGCAGAGTGGGCATTACCTGGTGGCCTCTTATCGCCCAATGATCAATTCGCAAGCGAGGGGAGCTTTCGCCGATTATGAATCTGGTTTTGAATTCTGGTGAGGGTGCACTTGAAAATCATTGCTGACAGACCGCTTCCAATAACTCACGCAATGGGGGAGACACCGGATCCTCTTCCCTCTCTTCCCGGATTCGCCTTGTCTCTGACAGGTGGTGCTCAGGCCGTGCAACTCGAGTGTGGAAACAAAACTCAATTGGGCTGTCTACTGTCGATGCTATATCTGTTTGTGCCCCATTGAGGAAATGCCTTTATGGGCTAGTCCCCCTGAATATCAGGATGGATTGTACGGAGTCGAACGCGAGCTGGCTGGGCTTGGGTGGCCCATATCAACTCCGATGTCCCCGTTCCATCCTACTTTTCTTCTGCTGGGTTTTTCTCGGGTCTCTGGCACAGTGTACGGACAGTCACGATAAGGTCTGGTCGTGTTCGTCTCTCGCACTGGTACAGTACTATGGCATTAATCATTGCCCTGGTGGTGGCACTGGCCTGCCATGCGCAGGCTAAGGCTGTCTTTGCTCACTTCATGGTTTGACTCTCCCTTTCTCAGTTCATCTCAGTCTGATGACAGACACCTTGCTGATACGTACCCGAATACACAGGTGGCCAACAGTCAAAACTTCACCGTCGATAACTGGAAGGAAGACATCACGCTGGCGCAGGCGGCCAAAATCGACGCCTTCGCGTTGAACATGGGCTACGGCAGCCCGTACGCGGGCCAGATCCTGAACGACGCGTTCACGGCGGCGGCGGACCTGGACTTCAAACTCTTCTTCTCGCTGGACTACAGCGGCGACGGCCACTGGCCGCAGGACCAGGTCATCACGTGGCTGAGCAACTACACCAAGCTGCCGGCGTACTACAAGCACAACGACGAGACGCCGCTGGTCTCGACCTTCGAGGGCTACGAGGCGCAGGGCGACTGGGTCAACATCAAGAAGAAGGTGGACTGCTTCTTCGTGCCGGACTGGTCCAGCGTGCTGCCGGAGAAGCTGGCGGCGGCGACGGTGGCCGACGGGCTGATGAGCTGGAACGCCTGGCCGGACGGGACGGCGGCGATGAACACCTCGATGGACGAGCGCTATTTATCGGTCTTGAAGTCCTCCAATGGCACCGACCGGCCCTACATCATGCCCGTCTCCCCCTGGTTCTACACCAACATGGTCCGCTACAACAAGAACTGGGTCTGGCAGGGCGACGACCTGTGGTACACGCGCTGGAAGCAGGTCGCCGAGCTCGAGCCCGAGTACGTCGAGATCCTGACCTGGAACGACTTCGGCGAGTCGCACTACATCGGCCCCATCCACGACCACGACCTCGGCACCTTCGTGTCCGGCGACGCCCCCTTCGACTACGCCGTCGGCATGCCGCACGACGGCTGGCGCGCCTTTCTGCCGTACGTCATTGACGAGTACAAGAACGGCGGCGACGGCAGTTCGACCATCGAGTCCGAGGGGCTCGTCGCCTGGTACCGCCTGTCCCCGTCGTGGGCCTGCGCCGCCGGCAAGACGACGGGCAACACGGCCTCGCAGGGCCAGACCGTGCTGCCGCCGGGCGAGGTGCTGACGGACACGATCTTCTTCTCGGCGCTGCTCGAGTCCGCCGCCGAGGTGTCGGTCAGCATCGACGGCAAGGCCGAGTCGGTCGACTGGTCCGACACCCCCGACGGCGACAAGGGGATGTACTTCGGCTCGGTGCCGATGGACAACCGCACCGGCGAGGTCATCGTCACCCTCACGCGCGACGGGCAAGAACTCGCCCGCGTCGCCGGCCAGCCCATCAGCACCACCTGCGGCAACAACAACATGACCAACTGGAACGCCTGGGTGGGCAGCAACCTGACCAACCTGTCCGCGGGCAATGGCTCCAGCAACGGCACCTCCAAGAAATCCGGCGCCGCGGCCGCCTGGTCGTCGACGCGGGCGGAGTTGCGGGCGTTGCTGATCCCCGTGCTGATCGTCTGGTTGGGACTGGGGTTCGTGCTATGATCATGAAGAAAGGATTACTGATAATAATGTCACCGCGTTTGTATTATGATCGTCATGCCCGCCGGGGGGGGCGCGCGTGCGGAAGGAATATGTGATATGTGAGGAGCAGGAGGCTCGGGGAGGGGGGAGTTTCGATGATGATAGATCTTGGATATTGATGTCCCTTCAACTGTATCTATGTATGACGTGAGGTTTTGTTTCATATCTGGGTTGGGTCTCTTATGTTAATATCTAATTTTTCAGTTTTGTCTTCTGGTCTGTTCTTCACAAAAGTCTGGGGATGATCGCGGTCTTGTGACTCTGTGCTGGCCCTGCCCTGATTTTGTTGTCGCTTCGCTCTGCCAGTGAGCTTGCGAGTGTCGGTTTCCTATCTCCATAGACAGGACTGTTGATCGCAGTTTCGATCGTCCATCCCCTATCTGCGTGCGTTGACATTGACTTTGCGACGGCGGCTTGGCCCGACAGCATTCACTGTTCTTTGCTGCAAGAGCAAAGGGATCCTTGCGGGAGATCCATGGTTGAGGCTGGAATGTAGGGTCCAGTTGCCGCTTGCGGAAATCCACTCGCCGCCATCCACACCCGTCACCCATGGGTTGGGTCGTGGGGTTGTCGGCGTCGCCGATGGGGGACGTGCACCCTGCTGGCCCTTTGACCTACCTAGTCCAGTAGCTTAGCTTATCTCTTCGATTATCGCTGCGGCTCTCTGGAGGAAGCTGCTGCGGCGGTTGGGCTCGTTTGCTGCTGTCAAAGTCAAAGACCTTGGTCCCATGGAAGTGAGCGTGCGGAAAAGCTAGACGGGGCTGGTCGCCCCAGTGCTTGCTCTCCTGCCTCCTGCCTGTTTCGGCGAGTACATGATTCAAGAGTGTTGTTTGCGATGCTTGCTGGTGGTGATACACCTGTCTGATCTGATTTCTGGTGTTGCTGGGGGATCTGCACTGATTTTGCGCCGAGCATGAGCGTGCAGGTTCTGGTGGGGGTTGCGACGGTATTTGCAGTGGGGTAGAAATATGCCCCACGGAGACCATCGAGTTTCTGCATCATGGATTGCATGTAGACGTGAAGATCAAGCACCCTGAATAAGGCTTATTCCACAACATTGAGGAGGTGAATGCAATAGTAGTCGTCTTGTCAGACACCTTGTCGGGAAACTCGTCAAGGGTATCCGCATCGGGATAGGGTTACATTCCACCAGGTGACAAAGACTTCAACCCTCTCCCTTCATCCCCTCCATCCCCGCGAATAGCCTCGACCACCCAGTCTGGCCCAACCGGGTCCAGCCCACCATAGCCCTCTCTCGATGGCGACCAAGTCGTATGATTCGTATGTGTAAGCCCTTATCGATAAACAGACGACACCCCCGGGGGAACCCGCAAGTCTATGACGCATATGACACCCTTGGCTCGCCACCCGACGGTGCAAGCCGACCAATCCTCGATGGTCTGGGGGATCAGCACTGACCAGTTCCAGACGGGTTAGCCGGGGCTGAGTTTAATCATTTGAATTAGTCTTTGCATCGTTCACACGGCCGAAGACGGTGCTCCGGTCCCGACAGTAGGGACAAAGCCTGGACCATCGGCGTCGGCCGACATGAAGCCCTACTCACAGTCCTGCAATAGCAACAGGGGCTGGTGAGGACGGATGCTCGAGCCACCGCGTCCACTGGCTCCGCTTGAAGGATCCATAAGCTTCATGCAGACGGACATGCCCCTCCTTTGTTGCTTGCCCTGCAGGGTCCGGGGAGAGGGTATAAAGTATCCCCTGACCACCCCCTCGGTCCCTGAATCAGGGGAGAACAAAACTTCAGACTTTCACACGATCCGACATGTTAATACGAGAATAAACACAAGACCCGATTTCTAGAGACCGTGATTGATACAGCCTGGTGCTGCCTGTCCTTTGCACTAGTCTTTGTTTATACCATTCAATCAGACCATTCGATCCTTCAACACCGAACTTATTCTCTCCCACAACCTCAAATCTACACTCTACAACAAATCCTCAATTCCATCCACATAAACCCACCAACAACCGCAAGATAACCACCATGGAAGCCCCCCATTTCTTCCGCCATGCCTCCCGCCTCACCTCTCCCTCTACCACCACAGTCAACACCCGCATCCCCCCCATCGCCCGCCGCACCACCACAACCACCAGCACATCCTCCTCCGGTGCCTCCACGATAATCCCCACGCACATCGTCCTCCTCTCGCGCAACAAGCTCCAGCGCGAGACCGCGACCAGAAGCCCCGACCTCCGCCGCTGCCTCGCGCACCAGCGCCTCCTGCACCGCTCCATCGAAGCGGCCCAACAGGCCGTCCGCGCCCAGATGGCCGCCTTCTCCCTCGAAGACGAGGACGTCATCGACGAGGAGGAGGAGTTTGAGGATCCCCGCTCATACACAAGCTCGCCCGTCGAGACGGCCCCCCCCGTCACTGTGATCCGCGAACAGATCACCGGTGCCGTTCGGGCGATGGTCCGGCGGCGCTCTGCCTCTGCCTCCGCCTCTACATTTACATCTACATCTACATCTACCATCATCCGCCAGTGGCCCCACTCCAGCGCAGAAACCCAGCGGAGCAGGGCTGAAACGCGTAGCGTCCCAACACAACCTCCTGGCCGCCCCCCACGGCAGGGGCGTGAATCCCGTCAGCGACCGCGACGAGGGCCCCAGACAAGCATCCGTTGCCGTGGTTGTTGGGAGCACGTCGATGATGCGCAAGACCAAGCGATACACGTCGCGGATTGTGTTTGGGCGGCGGCGGTGGCCGCTGTACGGGCATGCGCATGCGCAGCAGCCCGCGCTGGTTAGCTGACCCGGGCTGGACGGGGGGAGGTTTGCATGTTGTGCTATATTGTCCTGGGATGGCCGTGTCTTGTTTTGTGTACTGTATACTTACTTCTTGGGCATGTGCCCTGTATTTCGATAATATAATATCGATTTTCTCTGATGGATGTGTTTTCGTGGAGGGTTCCTGAGGTGGAGGATTTGCCACTGTAGCGCCACATGTAGAAATTGTGGTTTTGAGTTATGCATAATGCTTATGTGCATAATTCTGCTGACTAGGTGTCTGTGACCAATAAAAGTGCACGATCTGCTTCGCGTATCGGTGCATACCTACCTAGTAGGTAATATCGTGCAATGATCATTGTGCTAGCTCAACCCTGTCACCCAGCCTATCCATACCATACATCGAACCTCCACCTCCCACACCCTCATCAACGCCCTCACTTCGACACATCCAGCTCCTCAATCCCCTTCGCCGCCCGCTCCTTCCAATCGTCCCGCCACCGCGTCAACGCCGGCCGATCATGCACGATATCGCCGCAGGCCCAGGCAATCCGCTTCTTATCCAGCTCCTCACTGACCTCATTATCCGGACAGACGATATAAAAGCTCCCCGCCGCCATCCGACGGACCATGAACGCGACCGTCTCCTGCGGCGTCCAGCACCCGACCGGCTTCGTGGGGAAATGCGCCTGCATCATGCCGGTATACACCCAGCCGGGCACGAGCAGATGCACGCCGACCTGCGGATGGGTTCTGTGGAGGTCGAACGCGAGATGCTCGGCGATGGTCTTGACCGCGCTCTTGGAGGCGTTGTACGCTGGGTTGCCGGGGGGGTTGGTGATGCCTTGCTTGGAGCCGGTGAGGATGATCGCGCGGGGGGCTTTCTCGGTGGCAGACGTGGTCACACTGTCCAGGAAGGCGGCCAGCCCGTTCGTGTAGCCGAAGGTGTTGGTTGCAAAGGTGCTTTCGAAGTAGCTCGGGTCCTGCCAGGGGGTTTTGCCGGGGGCTGGTTGGGCGAGGCGGCCGGCGTTGAGCATCAGCAGGTCGATGCCGTCCGGGTAGAGGTTGTGGATGGTCGGCTTCAGGCGCTCCCAGGCTTCTTGGTTGGCGACGTCGAGGACGAAGGTGTGGATCTTGCTGGTGGATTGCGGCAGGTCCAGCGCGTTGGCGGCCTCAGTCAGTTTAGCGGGGTCGATGTCCACCAGGATCAGGTTCATCCCCTGCTGGTGACAGTGTTGCGCGGCTGCGAAGCCGATCCCGGAGGCGGCGCCGGTGATGAGGGCTGTGGCCCCGGGGCGAAAGACGGAGGGTGCAGTTGTCATGGTGTTTGTGGATGTGTTGTGTGTGTAAGTGATTGAGGGGGGCTTGTATTCGTTATAAACAATAATGTCCGTTGTTTACTCGATTGCGGGGTTGCTGACGGCGATCATCCGGTGTTACGCGCGCTTATCGCCGGCTTACATGCATAGCATAGCATAGCATAGCATCCGGTTTCACACAGTAGTTACGGCATGTTCTAGTTCATGAGTAAAGTTGCCTCTACTTAGTACCTTAGCGTAGTACCTCATGATGTTCTACTATCATCTGCTACAATCCTGCACTATTTCAAATTCAGCAAGCTAGTCATTATGTTTATATATGAGATGACGGGGATCTCATACCAATAACACCAGTGGTTGCTCGCTATATAAGTTAGCAGTTAGTGGTTGAGTAGTACCCAGCGCATATACTTCTAATTCCATCATCAGAGAACCCAACCAGTGTAGACTTGTCTGAGATCGATAGTGAATTGTCATTGACATCGCATGCAGGACAAGAATGAGCCAAGGGCTCTTCACGCTCATGCTTCGTGAGGCTACGCAACCACTGTTTCGTGCGATTCGAAAATTGCCACAGTGGCAGAATCACACCAGGCGGTGAAGAGAGGCGCAAAACATCTTCGCAGCCATTCGTCAGTCCACCTGCTCCTCACAAGTCTAGACCCGGTCGGCGATTTCTCGGTCACTGTCAATGACCGGTAATTCGGGTCGTACCGACCGAAATGACCTTGATTCTGTCTGCAACAGACTTCGATTGCTTTGATGTACCTGTCACCTGTCATTCTCATATCTAGTACTCCGTATATTCTTCAGTATAGCCGAACTAGGCAGGTGCGTTGCATCTCGTCAAAGCCGAATCGGGAAGTCGCGCGGTGCCGCCCGGAGTATAAACCCCCCCCCGCCCTCGCCCCCGATTCTCCTCCGACTTTTTTCCCGCGCTCGCCTCACTCGCATATTGCCTCATATTCCACATCACTCTCCATAGTAGCTATATTGCCACCGGTGCGTGGATGGCTTTTGGAAGCAGTTGCATCACAGTGGTGGAAATGTATTGGATATCATCTAGATCATGTATATGTACAAGCAAATGCGAATAGTATATGTATCGTCCATCAGTTCGGACCGAACGCTCGATGACTGCATGGCTCCCCCAGCAAGCAACTGTTGTATCTCATACCGACTGCACCGACTGCACCAACCCATCCAACGACTTGGCCAACTCTATCGACCTCTCCAAGATCCCCTTCTCCTCGTCCGTCAAGTCCCTGACGACCCCATTCACCATGCAGCTCTGGTCCTGCTTTCGCGCCCCCTTGATCCAGTCCGCATCGATCATCCACTTGTCCGGCACCTGGTACTCGTTCTCCATGCCCGGCTGGCCCTTATTCTTCAACAGACTCCCATTATACCACAGCAAGCGATCCTTCGCATCGACATGGGCGATCACAAAGCTGCACACCCCGCCACTCTGACCATCAGCCACCCCCCCCAGCTCATCCACCTCCTCCTCCCGCGCCCACCCGACAATACCCCCATAATGCGGCGAAAACGCATACTCCGCGCCCGCCAACTCCAAGCCAAACCACCAGCTCTCCTTATCGCCATAGGTGATCTTATACGTGGTCTCCTCGCGCACCTCGTACGAGTTCTGCCAGCCGACATGCAGCAAGGCCACCAAGACATCCGCGCGCCCTTTGTTGAGGACGACGAGCCCGGAATCGCCCTCCTCGGCGTACTCCTCCGTCCACACGCGCGAGGCGTTCAACGTGCCGCTCGGCCGCCGGATCTGGTCGTGCCACCACTGGTGCCGGCCCTCGAAGGCGTGCGGCCACAGCAGCCGGTCGTGGAACAGCAGCGCCCCGCGCTGCCGCACGGCCTCGTGCCCCAGCAGCACCTCCGGCCGCTGCAGGAACACCGCGTCCGCGTCCGCCAGGATCACCGTCTCGAACCGCGCGCCCAGCGCCGCGAACGCCTTGATCGCCCACCCGCCGGTGCGGAGCTGGAGCGTCGCGTCGTCGAAGACCGTCAGGATGTCGAGGAACTCGATGGCTGGGCCCGCGGGGCCGGCCAGCGTCGCGAGGAGGTCCCGGTGCGTGGCCGACAGGTCGCTGTCGCCCGCGTAGACCACTTGGATCGGGAGCGTCGAGTGCAGCACCGAGCGGAGTGCGCCGATCAGATGCGCCGCGTACCGCACGGTCTTGTCGCTGGTCGGGATGACGATCCCCGCGCTTTGGGGCTCGAAGCTCGCGCGGAGCTGGGCGATTGGTTCAGTCGATGGGTGGTCGGGGTGTGTGAGGAAGGGAAATTGCGTGCGCGCCACTTGTTCGACGGCGTCGGCGTACAGGGCCCGCGTGGTCGGATTGCCGCTTGTCTGCGACAGCGTCAGCCAGCCCCGCACGATGCGCAGCCGGCGGCCCAGCTCGCCGTATTTCTCCTTGTAGGGCTTCTGGATCGGGTGGTCGGTGAAGTACTGCGTGAGGTCGGTGAGGAGGGCGGTTTCGGCTGGCGTGAGGTCGACGACGGTGGTCGAGGTCGAGGTCGAGTTGACGGCGCTGGTTTGGAGGTCTGCTGACGCCGTCGACGCTTGTCCGATGTCTAGGGCAGTGGTGGATGTCTGGGACCCTGGGGGGAAGAAGAGCAGGACGGAGAGGATGCAGGTCGTTGCCAGAGCGGCGATGACTAGTCGGAAGTTGCGGGGGTTGAGCAGCGTCGTCGTGAGGAGACTCATCCTCTGCGATAGCAGCAGCTTGGGCTCGGACCACGCCAGCATGTTGTTGAGGGTGCAGGTCGGAAATGCATGGGCGGGCAGCGTGTTCTTGTGCGCAGGAGCGTCGTCTTCTGTCCGGACTCCAGAGAGACCGGATTGTTTCTGCCTAGGAGGAAGAGGGGGGCTCAGGGAAGGTGACGTTGCCCTTCAAGCCTTTCAGGGCTGGTGTCGATCCATTGCACTGTTGAACAGGGGGTCCATGGGGCCGGGGGTCTACTTATTCCTTGAATGCAGTCATAGCAGAGGCCAATGGGGGGGCCAGCAGAGGGCTGATCTCTGGATGCAATCAGCACTAAAATAGGGCTGAGTGCTGTGCTGAGGCTTTTCCCGAGCTGAGTTGCTGGAGATTTGCGGTGGGTCGCAGCAAAATCTGAGCAAACCAGGTCCAGCCCTAAGAACCCGATGGTGCACCGCGGTAATTGACTGTCTCAAACCTCGTATTCCACCCACTCGCCATCTGAATTGGAAAATCGAGGGCTCCAGACTCCCATTAGTCTGATAAGCTCGAGCTCTGGATAGGCCAAGCCTCGACTAGAGTCGCGTGCCTCCAGGCTATTTTCAGGGGTTTTCGCTGCTGGTTGGCCGACGACCGCGCTCAATTCCGGTTCAGTCGGTCGGAATACTAGTTTACCGATTGGTTGGAGAAATGATGGGAATGATTGCATCCACGACTACCTGCATAGCAACATGATCTCTGTAAATGAATGTGCTGTGCTGGCAAACCACAGAGATTCTCGACCGGACGGCAGATTTCTGCGCGATTTGCCATTGCAGGCCGGAATGGCGACGATCGGACGGACACAGACTCTCAGAGGCCCAGACGGAGTCACGGACAGACCCGGTGGGGCCAGCATCCAAATGGGCCAATCTTCCCGACCCAATTATACGACCACTTGCAGTTTTGGTTATCATATCGCTTATCATGGATCGCTGAGATGTGACTCGGAACTTCGGAAATATGCCGTGTCTCACACGCTGGAGGCCTGTCACAGTCTGCCACTCATCTGCAGACACACTCCCAGCCAAGCCAGAATCTGTCTCAGTTCAGGTGGCACGAAGGTCGGCATGAGCCTTTGACACGAACAGTGGACCCCAGGCATATATTGCAATGCTCCCATTGCTGCGCCCGCAATATGACAATTTCTGCCCATAATCCTTTGGCCACCACGCAATGTCCTTAAGACTTCCCGGGGGCGAACCCCCGGACCCCCCTTCTTTTCAGCTTCCCAGTAATACTTGAGCCCTAAGTCCTAGAGTAAATGATGCGGATGCTGATGGTGCTAGTAATCTGCTCGATGGTCGCTCTTCAAGTATTTTCTGGAGGAGGTGGGTACTACCTAGGTAGGCTTGATTATCATGATCTTTCTTTAAGCTGTGCTGGTTATCTTGAGTGGCTTTCTCTCTATCTCTCTCTTTCATTTGGGGTGGGGAGATCTGCACGCTAGAACTTTGACGCGGCAGATTGAGTGCCCCAAGCCATGTCATACATGCCAGCATGTGTCGTCAGCGGCATGACCGTCGTCAGTTGGTGCTCTGTAGGGTGTATAGGGTCAGCATTCGCATCTCGTTCCCATGGGCCAAATCTTCGGGTCAATTGAACTGATGATCGTCGGGCCTGTGTGGTTTCTAACGTTAATTAGGCCCAGACAAAATGGCAATCGCAGAGCGGATAAGATGCTTATCTACCCTCCGCGGCTTTTGAGTTGGTTTTTAACCTCCGTTCTCAACGGGCAGGATCTGGGATAACCCATGTATGACAAAAGAAGCAATCCTCACGGTTGGACGAATCTGACTGAGAGGCATCATGGACGTAACCTTGATCTTGTATTCTGGTGCGCATACCCAACCTTGAAGTATAAACCATGAGCTTTGAACATAAATTCCAGACATTGTCCATCTATCCCCCTCTGCCCTTTAGCTCTTCTTGGAGAAGACTATTCCTTTCCCAGCACACTGTATTGCACTGGCAACTCATCTATACCAAACAAGATGAGACTTTCCGCCCTCCTCGTGCCCACATTCCTCACCTGCATCCTCGCCAACCCTCTACAGATCCAGATCCTCGACGACGAGGAGACCGCTTTTCCGGCCGACGAGAAGCATTACTGCGGCGGGCTGGGGGCGCTGTGTCAGGTCAAGACCCCCAAGCTCACCTATATCTGCGACTGTCCCCACAAGACCAAGTGCGAGTCCCGCGTCGTCCATGCCGGTGCTAGTTACTGGTATTGCAGTGTTCCCAAGTGAGTTTACCGGGTGAGTGAATCGGTGCTGGATAGGAGATTTGGAGCTGATACCATCCAGAGATGGGAAGAATTAGGGGCTGAGGAAGGGGGTGTAGGCGTTGCGGGGTTGGGGTTTGTGGTGGCGGGGCGATATGCTAGTCCTGTTTTGACGAAATCTTTTCTTTCTTTTTGCTTCCATTTTCTTTTCTGGCTGAATTAATATCTAATTGTGATGATTACACTGGACAAAATTGAGGTCTGGGTTCTTTATTCTTCTTTCCTTGACAGAACTCGGTTTGGTCGGATTCTACTAGGTTTACTACGCACAACTGAAGGCTGTACTCAGTGTTTGGAATTGTTCTGACCTGTAGGTGCAATCGAATGGCGGTAACTGTTTTGTCTAACACTGGTAGACATGCGAGCTCGTCGCCAATAGTACGTAGCCTTACGGCTTCTCACCCCCGCGTTTATGTCCGCGAGAGTATTTGTTGGTGCTTTCTTGGTATGGTCCACAGGACTGGCGTGGAATCAGCTGGTCTCTTACCGTGAGACTGCCTTACGAGAAGACTATCTGGTATCTGGAGAGAACCTTGGTGACGACTGTACTATTTTGAACGCCTTCTTTAGATACAAAAGAGATTGGTGCCACAAGCATGAAACTAGCCTCGAAGCCTTGCAGACTGAACCAGCAAGTATGGCAGGAGCCGGGACCAGAAGTTATTGACATGTATGAAACGGCCATGACCACAGCAGACAAATGTGCAGGTTGAGACTGTTCCCCTCCAGCCCAATCCAGAAACACGTCTCAAGCCATCGAAAACTACTCGTCCTCCTCTGCATCCTCAATCTTGGTCCAAGAATGACGAGGTCGAAAGGGGTTAAACACGCCAACCGCCCCCGCGACATACTTAGCAGCCTGCCTCCAGGTCAACGTGTAGTCGTAATTCCTCCCATGCTCGGACGGGCTGTTGAAAGTCACGCGGAGGGGGTGGCGATAACGATTGTCGCGGATGGCCTCACGCCAAGTGTCAAGGAGATCGGGCCAGCTCCCGGTGCGGAGGTGCACGTAGGCCAGGCTGATCTGCTGCAGGGAGTTCTCTAGATGCTCGAGCAGTCCCCGTAACTCGTCCTCCTCCATCACCACACACATCAGCGACAGCTCGCGGAGACACGGCCACTGCACGCGGCGGACCAGCGGGCCGAAATCGAACTCGTGGTCGAAGGTCTCGGAATCCGGGCACAGCATCGGCCGCAGGGCGAGCTGCACGCGCTCGAGACGCCGGCTGGACAGCATCGCGTGGAGGTACTCGGTCGCTGCGGCCCGGTCGTAGGTCGGATGCTCCCCGCGGCTGCCCGCCCACCACTTGAACGGATCGCCGATGCTGACGCTGCGGAGATCCCGGCAGGCGGCGCTGAGCGCGGAGAACGAATCTAGCGTGCCCAGATCGGGGCCCGTGGCTGGCGGGAATGCGTCCACGAGTCGCAGGGCGCCAATGTAGATGTGCCGCAACGCACAGCCCCTGGCTTTGAGGGCGACGGGAAGCTCGAAGAGGAGCCGCGCGGGGGGGTGTTCGGTGTGTCTCCAGGGCAGCGGATCGAGGAGACGTGTGTGCAGGCGCGCGGGCTCGGGCTGGCCTTCTTTCTCATACTCTACATAGCGTGCGTAGTTCATGATGCTGTTCTCGTGGTCCGTCACTCCCATCGTGATGACGTTGAGCATCCTCTCCACCGATTCGGCCACCGTTCTCACAAAGCCTCCGCTGGCGATCAGCTGGTGCTGTTCCTTGTGGGCGCGACAATACCCCGCGTGGGCCCGGTGGAACGCGGCGTGATGCTCGGACACCGTCAGGCCTGCGTAGTCCGCCGGTTCGAGCCTCGAGCGATGCTCATAGAATCGGATGAAGTCGGCGGCGAGCTCGGGGGGTCGGTAGGGCAGTCGGATCAAGACGCCACGGACCGCGCGCGCCAGGCCGGGACAGCGGGAGAGAGCGACGAACCGGGCGAGGGATGCCTGCGACAGGCTCACCGCGACGAACGAGAACAGGAAGGGTGAGACACACGCTTCGAAGGCCCGGCAGACCAGCCGCGCGTCGAAGAGGTTCTTCCGCTCGCGCTGGTACGAGTGCTCGTTCTCGTTGAGCTCCGACCAAGACCACCCGACCAGGCCGGGTTCCACGCCGGGATGGCGGAAGTACTCGAAGGCCTTTAGGAGGACCTCAGCGGGCATCTCAAGGAGGGCAAGGCGGCGGATCTTGTCCCTCGACAGCTCGTTGGCTGCCGCGCGCAGCACCTTGCGTTTGTCGTCCAGCTTGTACCGCAGTCGGCGGCCTTCGCGGTGTCGGATATTCGCCGCTGGGCCTTTTCCGGCTGCGGCTTCCCACGCCACGATGTATTGGTCTGTGTTCTCGATCTTTGACAGGGCTGCGTATACCTCGGTCAGGTTGAACTTGGCGATATCTTCGTCTTTAGGTAACGCCGGCTCGTGCGGCGCCTGGGTGTCAACTGGGAACCCCATGATGACGCGTGAGCTAGAGATTGACACCGTCAGATAATAAACAGAAACAGTCTGCGGTGTTAGAGATAGCTTACTGAGGTAACCAGGTTAACGCGATATCGATGGACTGCGTATGCGGTGATTGTTTTTGGAAGATGGGAGGAGAATACTTCAGGGTGGCAGATATTAGACTGTGTTATTTGTGCGAGATGATTTTATAATACATTGTTAGGCATCTTTGTGTGTGATTCTCCTTGCCTAGCGACCCTCATTCGCATTCACTTGGAAACAGTTGAGTTGTGTTGTTATCAAGGCGGCTTCTACTGGCACTATAAACCCTGCATACAATATCCCCTGCAACGTCTGCAGCAATCATCCTTCACATACACCTCTGGGACCTAATAGTACATCTCTCTACCATTATCCGGCTCTGCTTTTCTCGTTGCGCAGCTTTCTTTGAAATATTCGGCTGATACCTTAACAAACGCGCACTCCTGCATGCACGTGATCCGCACAGAGTGAGGTGAACTGGGCAAATACCAAAGACGACGCCTTCCCCATCTAACTTGCACCCACTTGCATGAAAGAGCTCAAGACTCTCGGCAATGAGAGAGGCTTCTCATCAACTATCGCTACTTCTTTCATTGATTATCGTATCTCTTTTGACTGTCCTTGTGCACAGGCTGGACCCGGGCTATCGACCCCGTGCGAAAATCAGCAGCTAGACAGACAAGAAACAGTAAGAGATACAAGGTTCTCTGTAATAATCACTGCGCGTTGTTCAGATAGTGAAAGCTAATCCCCGTGCTCTCTGACAGACTACTTCTCATTCTCAGAAGGCCATCGATCGGCTGCCCCTGTATACCAACCCAATTGTCGATGACCAACTCGTCAACTGGTACAGTATACAAGCCATGAGCGAGAAAGAAGCTTTCTTGATAGGTCTTGTGGATATGATTTACTGCGTCGGCCCTTCGGATATTGATATCATCAGACATATAGGAAGTGATTTCCTAGCAACGTAAGGTAAGTATTACTGCTGTTGAGGAGCAGCTAAATAATCTATCGCACGAAACTAACACATACAATTCTAGCAAAACCACTATATCCAGAACAAAACAATTGGCCACAAGGAAAAAACACATGAACGCAGACTAATCCTCCCATCGCACTAACCAACACAAATCCATCCTCTAAACATCCAACGCTTCCTTGACCAACCTCCCAACCTCAGCAGCCTATCACAAACAAGTCAGTAATTGCTTCTCACCCAGAGTCAATCAACACGAGAACGAGAGGAACACTCACCAATGGCTCTCTCATCATCGTAAAATGATTCCCGTCCATACTCACACATCGTACCTTCCCCCTCCCCACCAACGCCTCCCACCCATTCTCCCCCAAATCGAGCCGATTCCCACACAGCCACGCCATACTATTCGGCATACGCACCCCCTTCTCCCACTTGGGCTCCGGATCCCCAGGATTCTTGACCACCCCATCTCTCGCCCAGATGACCGTCGTCGCCGGCATCCCCTTCACATCCACCGGCATTTGTGCCGCCAACTCCTCTGAATAAGCCGTGAGCTGGGTGACCGTCGCGCGGAAATGCGGGAGCAGCCACTCGGGCGTTTTCGTCTGCCCATCGCCCAGCAAGCCGATACGGTTGCAGAACTCGTGGAACACGGGGGGCAGGGCCTCGAGGCCGACGGGGTACGGGCTGTCGATGAGGACGAGCTTCTCGACGACGTCACCGCGCGCGATCAGCTGGCGCGTCAGCTCGTACGCCATTACGCCGCCGGCGGACCACCCTCCTAGCAGGTAGGGACCGGAGGGTTGCCGGGATTTGATGGCTTGGAGGTACTGGCGCGTCACTTCGGGGACACTGACGGTGAAATTGTGCGGGTCCCGCATGAAGGGGCTGTTCATCGCGTAGACGGCCGTGTTGGCGTCAAGGGCCGGGA